ATCACGCCCTGGGCTGAAGGCAGATGCTCAACCGCTGAGCCACCCAGGCGTCCCTGTCCTTCGTTTTCTAAAGGATAACTTTGCCAGAGAGAATATTCTTGAATGGCAATATTCTTGATCATTCCACTCTCTCCTAGCCTGTAAGGTTTCTACTGAGAAGTTGGCTGACAGCTTTACAGGGGTTCCCTTGAAAGTTACAGGCTTCTCGTCTCCTGCTGCTTTTAAGATTCTTTTTCTTTGATTTTTTGATGGTTTTATTATAGTGTCTCGGAGGGGCTTCATTTGAGTTTATTTAGTGACCTATAAGCTTCATGAACTTGGATACAAAGGTCTCCCCAGATTTAGGCAGCTGCCAGTCATTACTTCTTTAAATAACTTTTCTACCACTTCCACTGTTATTCTTCTGGAACTCCAATAATTCACCAATAGTTTATTTTAATGGTAACCCGTAGCGCACATGGACTTTTTTCACTCTTTTTCATTCATCTTAATTTGTTCTCCTCTGAGTGGATCATTTCAAAGGTCTGGTCTTCAACCCCACAGATTCCTCCCTTGGCTTGACCCATGTTACTGTTGATAATACTCATTTTTCATTTCACTTGTTTTATTCTTCAGCTGTAGAATTTCTATTGGGTTTTTTTTTAATCATTTCTATCTCTTTAACTTCTTTGTCCATTTATCATTTTCCTGTTTTCACTGAATTGTCTCTCCATGTTTTCTTGTATCTTATGGAGTTTCCTTAAAACAGCATTTGAATGCTTAATTGGGCAAATCACACACCCCTATGTCTTTGAAATGGGTTACTAGGTTCTTTTGCTCTCTTGGTGATGTCATGTTTCATTGACTTTTCCTGTTCCTTGGGGTTTCTGTGTTGCTGCTTTCATATTTGAGTAGGAGTTATCTTCTCCAGTCTTTTCCAACTGCCTTCAGTAGAGAAGATTCATAAATATGAGGCCTTTAAATTAGCAAAATTTGGGGTGCCTGGGTGGCTCAGTCAGTTAAGCATCTGCCTTCGGCTTGGGTTATGAACCCAGGGTCCTGGATTGAACCCCACGTCGGGTTCCCTGCTCAGCAAGGAGTCTGCGTCTCCCTCTCTTTCCCACTCCTGCTTTCTGTCACTATCTCTCTCTCTCGAATAAATAAATAAAATCTTTAAAAATAAAAAATAAAAATAATTTAGTACAATTTGGGGGCACCTGGGTGGCTCAGCTGGTTGAGAGTCTGCCTTCAGCTCAGCTCATGATCTCAGGGTCCTAGGAATGAGCCCTGAGTCAGGCTTGGCAAGGAACCTGCTTCTCCATCTCCCTCTGCCTGCCACTCCCCCTACTCGCGCTCTCTGTCAAATAAATAAATAAATAAATTTTTTTTATTTAATTTATTAAAAATTAAATAAATTAGCACAATTTGTTCTCTGCCTTCTTCCTTTCTCTTCCCACATTTCTGTGTTCTGAGCAACTTCGTATGGATTGTATGGCAGTTCTGTTATTAAATTTTTAAGGAAAATTCATACTGTCTTCCATAGTGGCTGCACCAATTTACATTCCCACCAACAGTGCAGAATGCACATCCTCCCTAACACTTGGTATCTCTCTTTTTTTTATATAAATTTATTTTTTATTGGTGTTCAATTTGCCAACATATAGAATAACACCCAGTGCTCATCCCGTCAAGTGCCCACCTCAGTGCCCATCACCCAGTCACCCCCACCCCCCACCCACCTCCCCTTCCACCACCCCTAGTTCATTTCCCAGAGTTAGGAGTCTTTCATGTTCTGTCTCCCTTTCTGATATTTCCCACTCATTTTTTCTCCTTTCCCCTTTATTCCCTTTCACTATTTTTTATATTCCCTAAATGAATGAGACCATATAATGTTTGTCTTTTTGATAATAGCCAGTCTGACATATGTAAGGTGGTATCTCATTGTGGTTTTGATTTGCATTTTCCGGATGATGAGTGACATTGAGCACCTTTTCATGTACCTGTTGGCCATTGTAGGTCTTCCATGGAAAGATGTCTATTTCTATTTGGTCCTGCTGTTCATTTTTTTGTTGTTTTTTCTGCTGCTCATTTTTAAATTGGATTTTTTTCTTCTAAGATTTAATTGTATGGGTTCTTCTTATATTTTGGTTATTAACCCTCATCAGATATATGATTTGCAAATAATTTCTCCCATTCTGTAGGTTGCCTGTTCATTTTGTTGATGGTTCCTTTTGCCGTGCACAAGCATTCTAGTTTTGTGTGGTCCCGTTTATTTATTTTTGCTTTTTTTTTTTTTTTGCCTTTGCTTTTGGTGTCATATCCAAAAATATATATATATATATATCATTGCCAAGACTGATGTCAAGGAGCTTGTCCCCTGTGTTTTTTGGTGTCTTGAAGTTTTATGGTTTCAGGTTTTATGTTTAAGTTTTGAATCTATTTTGAATTGATTTTTCTGAATGGTGTAAGATGGGGTCCAGTTTCATTCTTTGCAGGTGACAGTTTTGCCTCTGCCATCTATCGAAGAGACCATCCTTTCCCCCTTTTTATATTCTTGGCTCCTTTGTCATAAATAATTGACCACCTATGCATGGGCTTCTTTCTTACTTTCTTTCTTTTGACATATCTGTGAACTATCGTAATGTGTCTAAACCTTCTCATTTTGCAATTTCCAAACAGGCTCTTGTTTAGTCTTTGAGAGTGAACCAAAGAGCCTGCATGGGACCATGAAAAAAGTTTTCACATAATTTCAAATGAATTAATAATTACATGGGAAAAAATAACTACAAGAAAGTATGGGTAGATACCTAGTCATGGCAAATAAACAGAAACCAGGATTTGAGCAAACATATAATACAAATTGCAACAGACAAATTAAAAAGTTTGCCTCAAGGGCACCTGGCTGGCTCAGCTGGTAGAGCATGCAACTCTTGATCTCAGGGTCGTGAGTTCAAGCCCCATGTTGGGTGTAGGGCGTACTTAAAAAATGGTAAAAATAAAAAGTTTGCCTCGGACAACACATTAAATGCAAATTAAAGCAACAAGAAATTGTCATCTTTTTCCTATAAAAATGGTCAAATGTTTTTGAACATAGTGGTCAGAATGCAATTAGCCACCCATAAAATACTGGTGGCTATAGAGTTGGTATAACATTCTGCAAAACTATTTAGCAACATATATCAGAAGTCTAAAGTTTCTTGTTTCTAGCAAAACCATTGCTAAAAATTTTTCCCTAAGGAAATAATAAGCATTCTGAACAAAGATTTACACCAAGATTTTCGTCATGGTCTTCTTCACACCTGGAAAGAAATGGAAAACAATCCAAATATTTAATTGTGGGAACATGTTAAGATGCATTGTAGGACACACTCTCAGAAGGAACTATTAGGCCAACATGAAAATTGTTATTTTTGAAGATTTTTAACAATATGAAAAAGTACTCAATAAATAGAGTATATGACAGTATTCAAGACTCTGATTTTTATATTACTTCTTTTAAGGTATTAACTACAAGGAAAACATCAGAATATTACTTATTGTTATCTCATAGGTTTTTGTTTACTCCTTTTTTTTTAGTATTTTCCAATTTTTTTTTATTTATTTATGATAGGCACACAGTGAGAGAGAGAGATAGAGAGAGGCAGAGACACAGGCAGAGGGAGAAGCAGGCTCCATGCACCGGGAGCCCGACGTGGGACTCGATCCCGGGTCTCCAGGATCACGCCCCGGGCCAAAGGCAGGCGCTAAACCGCTGCGCCACCCAGGGATCCCGTATTTTCCAATTTTTCAACTATGAATGTATATTACATTTATAATTTTATATTTTATATATATAATTATATATATTATGTATATAATTATATACATTTATAATTTTATATATAAAAATATATAATTATTATGTATATAATTATATATATAATTTTATATATATAAAATATATATAATTTATAATTTTATGTATATAAAATTATACATTTATAATTTTAAAAACATCAAATTAAAATAAGAACATTATGTCTGCAACTATAAAATATTGCAGAAATTATATGGGTATTGTATCTTATAAACTTTTTGGGGTCTTTAGACATTTTCCAGCTAACTCGGATCTATATTTTTTTGACGTGATGCTATTTTCTATGACAGACTTATGGACTACATTCAGCGTTCACCACACATCTTAATTCAAAACGCAGAAATGATGACAAGAGTATAATTAGACCAAATTCTAATTTCCCCATAATGCAATAAAAAATCGCCTCGGGAAGACAAGAGTTCTGAGAAGCAAAGTTAGTTTTCCCAGACTAAAGTTTCCTTGAACTAAAGTTCTGAGAAGCAAAGCTAGTTTTCCCAGACTAAAGTTTCCTTCCTTCTAATGACAGGGAAAGAGCCTCTGAGCAATGCACTTTCCTGGCTGAAATCTCCACCCTCGCTACCCAGCAGACCCCTGGGCATGTGCCAGTCGGGTCACTCTCCTGGTGGCACCTGTCTTTTCTTTTTTTTGTTGTTTTATTTTGTTTTTGTTTTTTTGTATCTGTCTTTTCTATTACAGAATGTCCTTTCATTAGTACTAAATATCACAGTTCACAAAAACATTTACGACTCGCTTCCCAACTCATCTTTGGAAGGTTCCCAGTATTCCCAGGTGAATTAGGGCAAGTCCAATGGGAATACATGGATCTAACCTCACCTCTTCCTGGACATCCTCCACTGTCACTCCCACCTCACTTTTGTCCTTCATCCTTTGAGTGTGTTATTTTTCTCTTGCAGACATGCTTTTATTCCCATGGTTTTCTACCTAGGACTTTTACGTCTCCCAACCCCACATTCATATACATTTCTGAAGCTGCTTCCTTGTTCCTCTTTCTTTTACATCATCATGATGTTGAGGACTTTGCCCCACAAATGCCATCAATGATTAATCACTGACAACGTTTCTCAGGATTCCTCCATAGTTCACCCTTCCTCAAAACTGCGTGGATAAACACTCGTTCGAGGAGTAAGACCCATCCCTTCCTTACCGGCACTTGTACACTGCATTCGTGGTGGGTGTCTTGATGGGCAACAGCAGGTCTTTCGTGTAGGCTGCACCCAGGGTCAGGACATCACCCTCACAAGTCAGGGAAATCAGGACCAGGCGAGGTTCCTGCCGAGCCGTAACCATGTTCCCCTTCTTGTTGATCACAAGCCAAAACCTGCCAAGTTCAAAACACAAGATACGCATGACCCACTATGCTAGGCCGCCAGTCTCCTGTGGGAGCTTCAGTCCTGCACTATCCTCTTTGATGTGCTCCCTGTAAGCCTAGTGTGTGTGAGTCTGTGTGCATGTGTGTGTGTATCTGTCTTGTCTGTCAATCCGTCCGTCCTAAACATCAACTCAGCAGCAAGAGTGAATCTGTGAGTTAATTTCAAAGGGTTTCATAACCACTCAAGCATCCAACATATTTATTATCTTCAGAACATTTTGAGCTCCTTGATGGCAAGAAATCAAAGATGTTAGTATATTTTCATCCCAAGTGCCCAAAAAATTCTGACCACTCTCATTAAACATGCCCCAAAGAGACGACAAGAAACTATTTCCTGGAAAGACTTTAAGGGCAGGAGGAAGCACAGGCCCTGGCATACAGCAGACACATGGCCCCTGCAGATTGAAATAACACGATTGTTGCTCTGTTGCTCTCAGAGCATGGAGTTCAGTGGAGCGGCATCCCATGCCACTTTCACCTGGCCACGTCCACCCTCACCTTTTAAAAAAAATTAATGTTTCAATATTCAGCACAGCGAACTCTGCAATTTGCTCAAAGGTCTATCGTTACACTACGGACAATATTTTTTCTGGCACAATAGTCCTCATCTAGAGGTACTCCCCCCCCCCCAAAAAAAGATAAATGGACATATAAAATGGACATATAAAAGCAATAGTAAAGTGTTCAGGGGTGGGAGGTGGGGAGTCATCCATATAGGTTACTTCTTAGCTACTGAGGAAGCTAAACACACTGACATTTTAGTCATTTCAAGTCACACAGGATCAAATGATTACAGTTAGAGAAGTGAGCTTGTGCTTTGGGAATCCATCAACAGAAAATGCTGGCAAATATGTTAAGTGTTAAAGAGCTTCCTTGCCTCACCTCCAGCAGGTCATCATGGTTGAGATGTTGCAGCTACACTAGAAAAATAAGGTTAGTGGGAGCCCTTTCCTGAACTGTCCGTTTATTGGTCCTCATCCTGGACCCAGACTGAGCTCTGGCCTGCTCCAAATCTTTGGTACCAGCACATGAACATTCTTCTTCAGGTGCTAATTCTTCCAGGTAATGATGGCAATTGAATCATCCTTTTCTTTTTTTTTTTTTTATATTTTATTTGTAAGTAATCTCTGTGCCCAAGGGGAGGGGGTCCAACTTGCAATCCTGAGATCAAGAGTTGCAGGCTCCTCCCACTGAGCCAGCTGGCTTCCTGACAGTAATCTTTCGAAACCACCCATCTAATCACGTTACCCCCTCATGAAAAATCCCCCTGCGGTTCCTGCTTTCAGAACTTTGTTCTGAAACTCTAACTCCAGCGAGGCACGCAAGACCCTTCAAAACTCAGCTGCTCTCCCAGCCCTTCACAATCCCTGCGCCCTCATGCAGGCCAACCTTTTTCTCTTCAATCTTTTTATCGTGGTAAAATATACACAACGTAAAATGCCTGGCAAGCTCTTTTGGTATATCCAAAAGGCTTGAAAAGAGGCCTCACACAGGTACTTGTACACTGATGTTCACCGCAGCATTATTCCCACCGCCAAACAGTGGAAACAACCCAAGCTGTCCACCAATAGAGAATGGATATTTTTTTTAAGTATGTTTTCAACCATTTTAGGTGGACAATTCGGCCGCATTAAGTAACCTTCACAGTGTTATGCAACCCTCACCACTCTCTATTTCCAAAACTTTTTCATCACCCCAAATAAAAACTTTGACCCATGAAGCAATAACTCCCCACCCACCCCCATCTCTCCCTGAGGCCTGGTAAACTCTACCCCACTTCTTGTCTTTATGAACATGCCTACTATAGCAGTTTCCTATATTTAGGATCATGTCTTTGTCCTTTTGTGTCTGGCTTATTTCATTTAACATAATGCTTTCAAGATCTATCTATGCTGCAGTGTGTATCAGAACTTCGTTCATTTCTGTGGCCAACAATATTCCATCATGTGTATATACCACGTGCTGTTTATCCATTCGGCTGTGGATGGACATCTGGGTTCCACCTTTCGGGGGGTGAGTAATGCTCACCCAGAGAACACTGGTGTACACATATCCAGCCAGTTTCAATTCTTTCTGGTAATTCCCCACGAGTGCCCTCGCCACCCCCCCCCCGCCCCCGCATACCTTAATCCAAGTCCAGGGTCTTTACCCATCTCTGTCTAGAATATTCCTCTCCCAATTAACTTGCCTGGAAAGTTCATAATTATTTTTAAATTTTCAGTTCAAGCTATGACGTCACTCCTGACCACCCCAGACGCTTTGGGGTGCCCCTTCCCTGTGCTCCCTGGCACTTGTCACACTGACTCCAGTGAGCCTTTGCCTCTCCCGATCCCAGCTGGTGATAGGGGGTTGACGAATATAGTGTCTGCCATAAATGCCAGCTCTTATGGCTATTTACTATTACATGAGCTCAATCAATATTCCCAGTCGATAGAGTGAAATTACAACACCCTTTGGCTCTGGGGCCTATAAAACGAATTCAATAAACACTCTCATCTTTAGGAATTAGCGAACCCTGTGCAAACCATGAAATATCCAGGACTCTTGGCTTCCTTCCCGAAGCAAAGATGCATAGCTCACCTTTCACTAATGCTGTGGACTGTCCTCTGTCCGCGGGGCTGGCAAGGGGGGAAGCTACGGCACCCACCCACCCCCACCCCCACCGTCACCCCCCTTGGTTCTGTGTCCCCCTGCAGGGGCTGGGAGGGCCGGTCTGGGAGGAAAGAGCTTCAAGCGCAGCCTTACAATGAGGCTCCGGGCTGGCCTGACCCCAGAGCCAGCGGGGAAGAGCGCGGCTGGCTCGGGCCTCTGCAACCTGCCCTGAACCCCGAGAATCCACGCAGCTCGAGACTCTCCGGATCGGGCCTTAGTAGCACGACTCTTACAAAGGCCCGGTGTGCTGAAGAACACGGGGGTCCCGGCTCCGCCGCTGGGGGGCGCGGGCCTCGGTTCCCGCATCCTGCAAGGATCGCCGGCGGGAACCGGCGCGGGCAGCGCGCGCCACGGCGCTCGTGCAGCCGCGACGAGCCTCGGCCTCACCTGCCGCCCGTGCGGTCCCGGGCCCCACCTCCGCGCGCTCCCCGGGGCTGGGCTCCGCGGCCCCACGCCGCCCCGGTTGTCCGGGGACGATTCCTAAAACTAGGGAAGGTGTGGGGGCGGGGAGGCAACCCGTCCGCCCGGCGGAGATGAGCAAGTCCCCGGCCAGCGGCGCAGGTGGAGGCGCGGCTGTCTCCGCGCACCGGGTCGGGACCCAGAGGCCCCGGGGTCCCCGCCCTCGCTGTCCTTGCCCCGCCGCAAGGGGAGGACGGGCCCCCGCCGCGCAGCCCGGCCCTACCTGTCCCGCAGGTGCCCGCAGCGCAGCCCCAGGGCCGTGCACTCCGCCGCGCTCACGCGCACGCCCTTGCACGACTTGACCGGGTAGATCCAGAGCTGCGCCACGGTGCCCACCTGCCGCAGCCGCCCGCGCCGCCGGGACCGCGCGCGGAGCCAGGCCACCGTCCCCAGCGCCGCGGCGGCCAGGCCGAGCGCCGCCCCCGCGAGCCAGGCGGGCCGGGAGGGCGCGGGGAGGCCGAGGCGGCGCGGGGCCCACGAGCCGGCGGCGCCCATGGCCCAGCGCGCGGGGCTCTCCGCCGCCGCCCGGCCGCCGCCCGCCGGGCCCGGGGAGGTGCGGCCTTGGCCCGGAGCCCGGAGCCCGGAGCCGGGAGCCCGGACCCCTTCCCGGCCGCTCGCCGCATCCCGCCCTTCGCCCGAGCGGCGGCCCCGGCTCACCCCTCCCCAAGGTCACCACGAATGACCCTTCTCCTTACCCATTTGTGGGGTTTTATTAAACCTGGATGCCGCCCCGGCGGGCACAGAGCGTGATTCCTCCACTAGAAATCCGGCGGCGGAGAGAGAGCTGGGTGGCTCAGTGGTTTGGGGCCTGCCTTGGGCCCAGGGCCTGATCCTGGAGACCCGGGATCGAGCCCCACATCGGGCTCCCTGCATGGGGCCTGCTGCTCCCTCCGCCTGGGTCTCTGCTTCTCTTTCTCTGTATCTCTCATGAATAAATAAATAAAATCTTTTTTTAAAAAAAGAAAGAAAAAAAGAAAAGAAAGAAAGAAAGAAAAGAAAAGAAAAGAAAGAAGAAAAGAAAAGAAAGAAAAGAGAAAAGAAAAGAAAAGAAGAAAAGAAAAGAAAGAAAAGAAAAGAAAAGAAAAGAAAAAGAAAAGAAAAGAAAAGAAAAGAAAAGAAAAGAAAAGAAAAATCCGGCAGCGGGGAGAGCCCTGCCTTGGGGAGAAGGGGGCGCCGCCCTCCCCGCCGCCCCCCCCCCCCCGCCTGCTCCGCGGGCCCGGGAGCTGCGGGAGTAGGAGTCGGGGGACGCACTCGCCCCCCCCCAGGCTGCCCCCGGGCTCTCGCAGCCGCAGGTCGGAGCCGCGCGGGGCGGCGGAAGGCGCCCCCTGCAGGGCTCGGGCGGGCGCGCTCTCCCGGGGTTTGGAAGGCGGGCGCCGGCCTCGGGTCCTGAGGCCTCGGGGCAGAAGGGGACGTCCAGGGCAGCCCTGGGGGGCGCAGCGGTCTAGCACCCTTCAGCCTTCAGCTCAGGGCGGGATCCTGGAGACCCGGGATCGAGTCCCACATCGGGCTCCCTGCATGGAGCCTGCTTCTCCTTCTGCCTGTGTCTCTGCCTCTCTCTCTCTCTGTCTCTCATGCATAAATAAATAAAAATCTTAAAAAAAAAAAATCCCACTTGGTCATGGTGAATAATCTTCTTAATGTATTGTTCTATCCTATTGGCTAGTATCTCGTTGAGAATTTTTGCATCCATGCTCATCAGGGATATTGGTCTATAATTCTCCTTTTTGTTTTGTTTTTTTAATGTTTTTTAAAAAAAAAAACATTGTCCTATAATTCTCCTTTTTGGTGGGGTCTTTGTCTGGTTTTGGAATTAAGGTGATGCTGCCCTCATAGAACGAGTTGCAAAGTATTCCATCTCTTTCTATCTTTCCGAACAGCTTTAGTAGAATAGGTATGGTAACTGTGGAAGGAGCCTCGGTGTCCATCGAAAGATGAATGGATAAAGAAGCTGTGGTCTATGTATGCAATGGAATATTCCTCAGCCATTAAAAACGACAAATACCCACCATTTGCTTCGATGTGGATGGAACTGGAGGGTATTATGCTGAGTGAAATAATCGGAAAAGGACAAACATTATATGGTCTCATTCATTTGGGGAATATAAAAAATAGTAAAAGGCAATAAAGAGGAAAGGAGAAAAAAATGAGTGGGAAATATCAGAGAGGGAGGCAGAACATGAGAGACTCCTAACTCTGGGAAACGAACTTGGGGTGGTGGAAGGGGAGGTGGGTGGGGGATTGGGGTGACTGGGTGAGAGGCACTGAGGGGTGCACTTGATGGGATGAGCACTGGGTGTTATTCTATATGTTGGCAAATTGAACACCAATAAAATATAAATTTATAAAAAAATAAATTGAAAAATAAATAAAAAAATAATTGTTTTTATAAATTTTTATTTATTTATGATAGTCACAGAGAGAGAGAGAGAGGCAGAGACACAGGCAGAGGGAGAAGCAGGCTCCATGCACCGGGAGCCCGACGTGGGATTCGATCCCGGGTCTCCAGGATCGCGCCCTGGGCCAAAGGCAGGCGCCAAACCGCTGCGCCACCCAGGGATCCCATAAAAAATAAATTTTAAAAAATGAAGAGAACATCCACCCACCCTGCACGCACTGACCTCAGTCCCTGCCTCTTTCAGATCGGGCCATGTTTCCCACAACACGGTCAGCCACGAGGGGCAGGGTGGTTTCAGTCTCAGGCTTCTCTTTGATGTGCCAGACTGTTTAAAGAAAAAAGTATTCTGAGACTTGTAAAAACGTTAGGAAGACTTCACTGGGGACTATTGCTCATGTAAGATCAGGAATAAAGGATGTCCACTCTCCCCCCATTTTTATTCAACAGAGTACTGGAAGTCCCAGCCAGAACAACGAGGTGAGAAAATGAAATAAAAGGCATCCAAATCAGAAAGGAAGCAGCAAATCCGTCTGTGTTGCAGATAACAGAAGAGCCTATATAGAAAACCCCCCCAAAAAAAAACATCAAAAACTATTAGAATAACTGAATTCAGTAAAAAAAAAAAACAAAAAACAAAGATCAGTTTCATTTTTTTTAATTTTAAAAGATTTTACTTATTTGACATAGAGAGGGAGTGACAGAGCACAAGCGAAAGAGTGGCAGAGCAAGAGGGAAAAGCAGGTTCCCCACCATGCAGGGAGCTGACGCAGAGCTTTATCCCAGGACCCCAAGATCATGACCTGAGCTGAAGGCAGACACTTAACCAGCTGAACCACCCAGGGGCCCCATGCATTTCTATACATAACAATAAACTACCAGAAAGAGAAACTAAGAAAAACAATCCCATTTATAATTATATCAAAAAGAATAAAATACCTAGGAATGAATTTAACCAAGGACGTTCAAGATCTATACACTGAGAATTATAAGACATTAATCAAAGGAATTAAAGAAGACAGAAATAAATGCAAAATTGTTCTGTGCTCATGGATTGGAAGAATTAATATTGTTAAAATATCTATAAAACACAAAGCAAGCTACAGAGTCAATGCTATCTCTATCAAAATCCTAATGGCATTTTTCAAAGAAATAGAAAAAATATAATCTTAAGGTGCCTGCCTGGCTCAGTCAGTGGAGCACGCGACTCTTGATCTTGGGATTGTGAGTTCAAGCCCATAGTGGGTGTGGAGATTGCTAAAAAATAAAATCTTACAAAAAAAAAGAAAAGAAAAAAATCCTAAAATTTGTATGGAACCACAAAAGACCCTGAATAGCCAAAGCAATCTTCAGAAAAAAGCAAAAAGCTGAAGGCATCATATTTCCTAATTTCAAACTATATTAGAAAGCTATAGTGATCAAAACAATATAGTATCAGCATAAAAACAGATATGTAGATCAATGGAACAGAAGAGAGAGAAGAAATAAACCCATGCAAGGCACCTGGGTGGCTCAGTGGTTGAGTGTCTGCCTCTGACTCAGGTCATTATCCCCAGGTCTTGGGATCAAGTCCCACATCAGGTTCCTCAGGGAGCCTGCTTCTCCCTCTGCCTATGTCTCTGCCTCTCTCTCTGTTTCTCATGAATAAATAAATAAAACCTTTTTAAAAAGAAAGAGAGAGAGAGAAAGCAAGAAGCCCATGCATAGGTGGTCAATTATTTATGACAAAGGAGCCAAGAATATAAAAAGGGGAAAGGATGGTCACTTCAAAAGAAGTGGCAAAACTGTCACCTGCAAAGAATGAAACTAGACCCCATCTTACACCATTCAGAAAAATCAATTCAAAATGGATTCAAAACTTAAACATAAAACCTGAAACCATAAAACTTCAAGACACCAAAAAAACACAAAGGACAAGCTCCTTGACATCAGTCTTGGCAATGATTTTTTTTAATATGACACCAAAAGCAAAGGCAAAAAAAAAAAAGCAAAAATAAATAAGTGGGACCACACGGAACTAGAATGCTTGTGCACGGCAAAAGGAACCATCAACAAAATGAAAAGGCAACCTACAGAATGGGAGAAATTATTTGCAAATCATATATCTGATGAGGGGTTAATAACCAAAATATAAGAAAAACTCATACACTTAAATCATAGAAGAAAAAAATCCAATTTAAAAATGAGCAGCAGGGATCCCTGGGTGGCGCAGCGGTTTAGCGCCTGCCTTTGGCCCAGGGCGCGATCCTGGAGACCCGGGATCGAGTCCCACGTCAGGCTCCCGGTGCATGGAGCCTGCTTCTCCCTCTGCCTATGTCTCTGTCTCTCTCTCTCTCTCTATCATAAATAAATAAAAATTAAAAAAAATAAAAATAAAAATGAGCAGCAGAACCAATAGACATCTTTCCATGGAAGACCTACAATGGCCAACAGGTACATGGAAAGGTGCTCAAAGTCACTCATCATCCGGAAAATGCAAATCAAAACCACAAAGAGATACCACCTTACATGCATCAGATTGGCTATTATCAAAAAGAGATACCAAGTGTTAGGGAGGATGTGGAGAGAAGAGAACCCTTCTGCACTGTCGGTGGGAATGTAAATTGGTGCAGCCACTATGGAAGACAGTATGAATTTTCCTTAAAAATTTAAAAACAGAACTGCCATACGATCCAGCAATTCCACTTGTGGATACTTATCCAAAGAAAGAGTAAGCACTCATTTGAAAAGATCCTGTGCACCCCCATGTTCATTGCAGCATTTTTTTCCAATAGCCAAGACATGGAAACAACCTCAGTGTCCACTGGACAGATGAACGGATAAAGAAAATGTGGTGCACACCTACCATGGAATATTATTCAGCCTTATTTTCAAAAATGAAATCCTGCCATGCAGGACAAAGTGCATAGATTTTGAGGGCATTATGCTAAATGAAGTAAGTCAGACAGAGAAAGACAAATACCTTATGATCTCATTTATATGTGAAATCTAAAACAAAAACAACTCATAGGTACAGAGAAGAGACTGGTGGTTGCCAAGGGCAGGGGGTGGGGGGTGGGCAAAATAAATGAAGTCTTTTGACCAAAAGACCCAAACTTCCTGTTGTAAGAGAAATAGG